CAAAATAGCAACCTGCAGTTGCCAGAGAAAAGCTGTAACATACCTCAAGACGCTTGGCAATGTGGTTTTAAAAAATAGTTTAGTCTCGGAATTCAAAAATTGTACTCGTCTGTGAAGTTTCCTAAGGCTTCATCCTTTACTATCTGCATTTTTTTTTCATTTCTTTTATTGCTCTCATAATTAAGATAACCAGCTGATTGCACACTTTAAGGCGTGGTGAGCTCACACTCACACCTTTACTGTATATATATATGTGTGTGTGTGTGTGTAGATATGTATGTGTATATACACAAGTGGGTTTGGGACTTTACAAATGATAATCTGGTCTGGAAAAAAAATTTTTCTTTTCTTTTTTTTTTGACATCCTGCCCCACTGCTCCCTTCTCTGAGCTAGGAGCCTCGTGGACTGCCCTGGCATTTATCCCGCACTGTGATGGATGCTCCTATGATAGCCAGCTTCATAGGAAAGATACAAATAATGTTTAAACGATGCCTAGCAGTTGCTATGGTGACCTTAGTCCACTGGTAGTTTCACAACCTTTGGCAAGGAAGATGAAAAAAGAAGAAAGACATAAGCTCCTTTACACATTATTGATCATATGATTACATTAACCCTGTGTACCTCAGTCCTAGGTACTACAGATGTTATCTTCTCCCCATGGGACCTGACTGGTATTCTCCAATGATCTCCAGGAATTTTTCATTGCATTTTCTTGTCACCTTGTCATGCTGCCACATGCCCTAGATAATTTTCAGGATATAGAAAATAAGAGTGTATATGTCAGCTCCATCATTGTCTCCATTGCATGCTTGCTCAAGCCACTGGGTAGAAAAAGCGCTTACAAAGGCAGTTCATCTCATCCCATGGTCAATGTCTAAAGCAGATCACTCTCTGGAAGAGCTCATCTCTTTACTCTTTACAGAGGGGACTAAAGATCAGATTAAATTATCTTCTGGCAGCTAAGTTAGATGGGATGAACCTGCCCACTATATCAGATCTTCAGATGTGCTCATGCACCAGATCCATTCCAAAAAACTGAGAGTCATGCTTCCTAATCTGATGCTTAAGTTTCCCGAGCTTTAGTTTCTCTGTTAGTAAAGCACAGTGAATACAATACTTTATTTTGCACTGTCACAGTGTAAGCAACGTGTTTACAAACCCGTTTGACCATGTAAATGTATATAGTATATAGCAAACTCATGCTCATGGCTCAATATTTCATTTAAAGTGTTGTCTATGGAGGCCAGGGAGACTAACAACCCTGGATGTACTTGAAGGAAATTCTTAGCGCAGGAAGATGTGGAATCCTTTAGGTTCCAAAACTCTATAAAATTGTCCATCTGATACTTTCTGCAGATGCTGTTAATGATGTTGGGTTGCAAAGACCCAGCAAATGAATCTGGATCACTTCTTCTGTGAAAAATAAGAGTGGAAAATTCTCTAACTTCTCTAACCAATGCTACAGAAAACAGGGGAAGGCAGGATTCCTGCCTAACCACCTTACCATGCACACCTCCAGAAAGCCCAGTTGTAGGCAGCTGTAGGAAACGTTTTCTACGTTTTCTCTCTGGATCAGTCTCCACCTTTTTGAAGAGGTTGAATCTACTGCTACAGGCAGCACTTTTGTATTTGATCTCAGTGCTGTCCAGCCTTTTGGAGGATTACGTGCACGGACCTCCAACCAAAGCCAGAGAACAACGGCAATAAGGAAGTGCAAGAAAGTCATTTTACATCAGAATAGTTTTTGAAGCCATTCATCCCTCTCCCTGGGCACTATCACGGCTGAAATGTTGGAACCAAAGGGTTAAAGGCAAGTTGTGCTCAGATAAACAAATCTATGGGAGATAAATCTGTTGCCATGCCAGCTGACACTGAAAACAGCCAGCTCCGAGCTGGCATGTAGGAGATGACATAAAAGGCTGCTCCTTAAAGCAAAAGTAGTGGCTGCTTGCATTAAATTTTGTCATCCAGTGGTAGATAATGAGAAGCCAGTTGCGTTTCCTAGGGCTCTGCAATTAAATACCAAGGAAGGAAGTGTAATAAATGGACAAGAAAAGGACATAAATGATCTCAATCTCTGACACTAATTCTATGTCCTGCTCTTGACAAGTCCTTAATTTTTGTTTTGTTTTCTTGCACCTCTTAATTTAGAATATAAGGAAATTTTTTGTCTTACATTTGTTTTTTCCCACTGGTCTTTCTAACTGGCAGTTCAGAATGCTGATGGATCTTCTTTAGGGCCTTCAAGCAGTACTGCAAATAACATCTACTTAATAATGACAGTTATAGCTCTAATGGAAGGTTTGCTTTACTTCTGAAAGTCTGATGCTTACCTATTCAAGATGGGCAGATAGAGGATAATGTTGGCTGTCAATATCCACACAACCAAACCTATGTCCAAGATACCATTAGCTGCCTCTGGAGTCTATTGTCCATTGCAGACAGTTATTGACTTAAAAATGGTGACATTGTTTAATAACTGCTGTAGGCTCCCACTTTCCATAGTTTGGGCTGTGGTTCTAGTGCTGTTATAACAGCATGTTTGTTCGTTTGTTGTTCTGCATGTCTGAGGAGCACAGACATGGGTGTAAGTCATGAATTCAAATGCATTCTTCTTCATTAAAGAAGTACTTTTAGAGAGGATACATAGGGTTTGACTCATGTTTTAGGGTGTGCTGTCAAATTGGTATGGGGGAACTCATATCAATAGCTACTTCTTACTGTACAATACAATTTAAGGGAGATACACTGAAAAATAAGACATCCAAATGTCCCATGATCCCAAGCCTTATAGCTCAAATGCAAACCAAGGCCTTGTCCTTATACAGATCAACGTATTTAATGTTAAGTACAGAAATAACCCAAATAAACTTTACTACATTCTCAGACATGACTAAAGATACCCACTGGCATAATTTTCTGTCATATACATATTCTTAAAACCACATTTTGGTTTTGGACGCATAAACATGCATCAAAGAGTAGGGCAGTTGCAGGAATTTAGTAATTACTTCATTACTTCATACTGTATATATATGTGTATATATATATATATGTATGTATAAATACACACACACATAAATGCATACATACTATACACACACGCACACACATATATCCATTTTTTTTGTATGTTTATGTATCTATATGTAGATAGTGTGTGTGTACATGAATGAATATATGTATAAAATAATTAATTAATTAAATAACCTCACAGTCATTAAATAGACTTTGACTTTTAGCTGAGTTCAGAGCATAATGTTCAGTATAAATCTAATTGACTTTCCAGTGACTTTTAACTTATTAGCGAAAATTAAGTTGACAGATCAAGTCTCAAAACCTGTATAATAAAAGGTTCTGCAGGACTTCTCTTAAGTACATTAGCAGAGTTTCTGCTTTAGAAAAGGTCCATTTAATAAAATGGAACTTGGTCTTACAGCACTCAGAAAATTAACACTGTTGAAAACGTGAGCCCTTTCATATGTCCTATCAATCCAAGCACAATAAAATATAATAATTATTTGACTATATATATATACAAAGTTCCTTTTAATATAAGGATATTCAAATTAATACAAATATGAATATATATATAAAATTAAACTAAAATCTCTATTGCACAAAACTACATTAATATAACATTGTAACTGTTATTAATTAATTCTAACACAACTAAAACCATGTAGAACAAGTATTCAGATGAACACAGTGGTATAATTTCTCTCTTTTTTTTTCCTAGATTATTGGCAGAAAGATACTACATCTAAATATGAAGTTTAAAAATGATTGCTTTTTTTTTTCCTTTCGATCAATCAATGCAACATGCTAGGAAGGCAAGAATACCAAAATTTAATCAATTATTTCAAAGTGTCCTCATCTTCAAACAACAAGAATTTTGTCCTTCAGGATTTAAGCTGTCATGCTATACAGATGATAAATAAACACTTGAGAGGGAGGTTGCAGAAAAGAATTGAAAGAGTTTGAAAAAAAAATCAGATTAGTTTTCCCACTTTTCTAAATATCCACCATCATCTTCACATTAAATCCTTCAATTTCAAATTTTGAGGATCAGAAAGCCCATCTGATTTATTCTAAGTATATGTGAGTGAGAGGATTGAATTTAAAATTATTTTAAGGTAAGGGCTTTGAAAAATGACAAAACACAACATGCTTTTGATATTGTATTGAAAAGATTCTTCTCACTATTTTGTTTTCATAGATGCTGCCTTTCACCTTACAATAAATTTGTAGAATAAATTCCTTACAATAAATTTGTAGAAATTAACTTTCAATAAATAATAATAAAAAAGAACACAAATTGTTTAGTTTTTAAAATTTTTTATTGTGGCTATAAGTTAAAGGTTGAAAAATTAAAACCTGAAGTCATGTGGTTATTCCAGAGGACATAGAACTAAGCTAGTCTAAACTTATTAGCAGCAGCTAAGACATTAGCACTGCTCATATTTTTGGTTGTGTTTATTTGGTGGACACTGGCAAATCTACCTCAGTTTTGTCCAGCTCCTCCAGGCTTCCCTGGATATGATGCAGCAGCACCACTCAGTGGCTTAAGGTTTCTCTGTTATGCAGCACCCAGCTTTTTATTTTGGAAGCAAGATATTCAATAGCACCAAAGGAAAAAAAAGACCTCCTGTTGTAGTGAATATATTTCTAAAATATGAATTGGCAAGCATTTTGGGTGCATAACTTGGAAATGAGTAGACTTTTCTTAATACTCCCCAGAAAAAAAAATCAGAAAAGAAACATCTCACCTATGTTTTTGATATCTTTCCTAAAATTTGATATCCCCTCCATGATAATCAGAGACTGAATAATAAAATGCAGTGGTCCGTTTTCTGAATTCCACATGCAAAAATGTACATTATCTGTCTTGAAAAAAAAAATCCTCTTGCTGTTATTCTCTGTGTTTTGATGCATCTGTTTCTCTTGTGGGAAGTAAACTATTATTTGAATCACATTATTTTTATTCTCCAAATTTCAGGTTGGGAAGTAGATAACTTGGGACAAACTCATGCAGGTAAGAACAAGTTCTGCTGAACATCTCCTTCTATATATCGCTGTTCTCAAAAGTTCTGGGATATATGCAGTTTTCATGATTGGATTCTGACCAAGATAAATAAATAAATAAATGAAAATCTAATGTTTCAGAAAATATTAGAAACACTTAGTTATTAATTGTAACTAATGGATGGAACTCAGTTTTCCTGAAATCTCTGATAAATGTTCATGCTTAAATAGCTATCAAGTTTGTTAATCCTAAAAGTAAATTTCTAGAAATGTAATGCTTTATTTTTATATATTAATTAAAAAAGATCCTAATTTAATTACAGTGCTAGCTGCTTGCAGCTGTGAATGCTTAACATATGTTGTATATTCAGCCCCGATTTAAACTCACAAGACTATATTTATTTCCCCAAAAGACACAATCAAGAAGTTATTGATACAGGGCGTTGGTCCAGACAAATAAAATTCCATTTAATTCTTTTCATTGACTTACACAAAGGTTTTAATAGCAAACACAATCAAAACAATTTCATGCCAATTTTCTACTTTTATAGGTGATTATGACCTGCTAGAAAGTGCAGCCCAGTCTCCCATAGGTAAGAAATAGAATCTGTGAATGCTTTCCCTTTTATTTTTTGCATTGTAACTGTTTTAAAAAGAAAGTTATAAGCTTTTCCTCCCACCATCTGGGTATTATTTTCTAATCGGTTCTAATTATGGTGACACATTTGCTAATGTGTTACTTTTAGTCGTATTATGAAAACGTATTCTTCAGCACTCGAGCACTGTGGTCTAGCCAGTATATGGCTATAAAATATATCTACCTGATTAACAGGAATTATGAAATGGTGTTAAGGACACATGACTGTGGTTCAGTGGTTGTTTTCCAAAAAAATCTGAGGATGAATATGCAAAATTGATTTACCATAATATTCCAAGTAGTGCAATGTTCTTAAATGAATCTGTGATTAAATAGAGAAATTCTGTCTCATGGATGGCAAGCAGATTCTCTAAACATAAAGTCACTACCACTGTTATGAGCTACTAGAATAAACTGCTATAAGAATGTAAAGAAGCTGGACCTTAATAAAAGAAAAATAAAAGTCTATGATTTCTGATCAAAGTATAGCCTATAAAATATTATTTCAATAAAAAATAGTCCATTACGCTCAAGAGAAGTAAGTTCTAATGTTTCAAACAGATCATTGAGTGCAAATAAAAATAATACTGGTTAAAAAGACCATCAAGGAAGCATCCCACCTTAGCTGAAGTTGCTTCAGGATAGACCTGTAATACTGCTATTTTAGATATACTACAGCAACCTACTTGTCTTCCAGCTACTGCTGGATGCTCTTCTTTAGATACCCACTTGAAAATTAGATATTTAATGCTCTAGAAACACTGACTATATTAATTAGATCCCTTTTGCTCTCCAGTGACCAACTGTAGCAAAAACATTCATTAGCACCTAGTGGAGAAGTAGATCATTAAAGATGTCATTCAAGATTAAAGATGTTATTAAAGTCTTTTATGTATAGTCTGTTAAGTTGAACCTTTTTTTGTAGTGAGGTTTTTTTTGGCCACATGCCAAATAAAAGGGCAGTTATGACCTGTGATTTGCTTAAATAACTTCATCTCAACTCTACCTGTCATTTGACGTAGGGGACATCAGCAGAAATTGTACTGAAGATGGCTGGTCTGAACCTTTTCCACATTACTATGATGCCTGTGGCTTTGATGAAAATGAAACAGAGTCTGATAATCAGGTGGGAATTAATTTTGCAATTAAAAATAGGTTAATAAACGTCAGGGCAGTAGTCTGGGATGGTTTTTTTTTTTTTTTTTTTTTTCTTTTTGCCCAGGCTCTGATCATGTCCTGATTTGATGGTGATTAGAATTAAACAATTAGGTATGAATACCAGAAAAAGATATAAATATGTAAGAAGCAATCCTTTAATCTTTCCTATCTGAATATTGGTTATTTCCAGAATATGAATATAGAATGATGACATAACTTTTGACACTTACACACATAAACTCCATTCCTTCCTCTATTGACTAAGAAACTCCTTATCCACTTACATTTTTTACTGCAGATATCTGCACAGTGGTCACAGAAATGGTAGATATCCTTTACTTAGTGACTAACCAATAAACTATATAAAATGTGAGTACATTAAAGATACAACAACCCTTGTGGATAATATACAGCAAGCTATTAGAGGAACTAAAAGGAGATGACAATCAGGCTGTTCAGGAAATAATCTTGTCTATGGACTCCACTGTGGACAGGGCAAAAATGATGTGACCATAGGTGAAATTTTTAACACTATGCTCCTTGTCTCCCAAGGATTATTACTACTTATCCGTGAAGGCCCTGTACACGGTGGGATATAGCACATCTCTCGTTTCCCTCACCACCGCAATGGTTATCCTGTGCCGCTTCAGGTGAGTCATGATGAGAGTAGCGAGCTGTTCAGTCACCAGAGATGAGGCCAATCATAGTCCATTCACCCAAAAGATTGAGGTTTTAACCTCAAAATTAAGAGAATGAAGCACTTTACTGTGGGTGTTCCCTGAGGAGGCAGCCACTCTAGTAGCAACATTTCAGCAGACCACAGATAGACATGGATCTATTTCCTGTTATCATAACTATGTTCTGCTGGAAAATTCCCAGATCCACTTCTACTGGAATATCCATCAGACTAGGTAGATTTAGAGTCAGTATCATCCACCCATCTGGCTTTTAGACATTGGGATGCTTAATAACAGAAGGCAAGGAGCTCTGACTGTAGCTATGTCTACTACTACTGAGAGAAACGCTGTCTTTTTTTTTTTTTTTTTCTTGATTTTCTTTTTTATATTTTTTCCCTTCTTTTTCTTCTTTCCTCTCCTTTGTTCTTTCCTCTCCAGGAAGCTTCACTGCACTAGGAATTTTATCCACATGAACCTCTTTGTTTCGTTTATCCTACGAGCAATATCCGTATTCATTAAAGACGGGGTGCTTTATGCTGAACAAGATGGTAACCATTGTTTTATCTCAACTGTAAGTAAAAGTGAATTATTTTCCTTTATCTTTTCAGTACGAAATAACAAAAATAATGGGACAGACAACAACCTATAGGGTATTAGAGACGGAGAACCTCTTGGGAAGGTAATTTATGGTAAATTTCCCTCCCACATCACAGTAAAAGAACAGATGTCATAACAGATGTCAACAGGTTTTAGATTCTGTTCAGATAGTTTCTTCCTTTCTTAGGCCTACATGACTATAGTTTGGATGAGAGTACAATTTTCCTCATCCCTCATCTAGTGTCTAAATTTTTTTCTCCAGGGACTTATTTTCTCTGAATAGCAGGAGGTCAGTTGTAAAGAAAATGACTGTTCAGGCATAGGAAATACCCCTGATAGTCATACCTACCTTTGTCAGTCTATTTGTCTGTCTCTCAAACCTTTTAAGTGGGTACTTTCATGGAAAGCAGTCTCTTTCACTGATGCACTTAATTGTATATTGCATATAAATCCTATTTTAAGAGTAATATTTTAGCTAATATATAGACTTGGAATAATTATGATGGAACTGTACTGAATTCTCAAGCTGAGATCTCCTTCATCCATCCAGTTAAATTTCCCATGAATCACTTCCATAAGAAAAGTACATCTAATTAATTTCTTAGCTTTTTTTTTTCATTTTCTTCTTTGGTTATTTAAACAATTTTTTTTTCTGTTAATCCTCAGTGGAAAAACTGAGCTCATATTAGAGCTGAAGTTTGTTCAAATATTGCTTCTAACCTTGTTGTTCTGAACCAACTGAAGCAAGAAACATATTAAAATCAGTGACCTAATGGCTAGATCCTCATCTGGCATAAACTGTCAGAGTTTCTCTGAAGCAACTCACCTTCTAATGGTGAGTGGGTCTATTGGCTGTAGACATGTCCCAGAAGACATTTGAGAACCAGTCAAAATTGGCAACTTCCCATTGGCTCAGGAAGTATCTTCTGGACCTTAGGCTTCTTTGGCAGCCTAGGATGCAACACCGGAGAGACATGCACATCCTACCCTTGCAGAGTTAGGGTATAGAGTGGTTTCCACGTGAGGTTTTTAAAGTGATTTTTTTCTTTTTTTGCTCCTTTGGTCTGCTGCTTTCATCCAGTAGCCGATTGAAAATTTTCATTATTCTGTACAGTAAATGACTCTACTTTCTTTACCCCTAACGCTTGCTTTCTTTTTCTGTCCCTGAGTGACAATTCCTGCAAATTGCACAGACGTACAATTTGGAACTCTGCGCAGAAGGGAGTGTCCTTTATGCTCCCACTTTCAGGGCTTCCCACAATCATCTTGCCATTTCAAATTCTGCCCTGGGTCTCTGAGCAAACAACCGGGTTCTTTTCTTGTCTGCATGCAGTTCCTAGGAGAGGGCTTAACTCTAGCAATTAGCATCCATTGTTGATGTGGACTCCCACAAATGCAAGAAGTTCTCAAGCTCTCTGCAGGCACTTGGTGACAAGCTCCCATGGATAAAAGTGGCTACCAGCCTTTTAAAACTCCACGGTCTAAGTAGACCCTTGTATTCTTCTCATGCTTTTAAAAACTTTACTATTGAAAATGCATAATACTAGTCCCAACTGTGCTCTTCTGATGCATTTGGAGAGGTTGAAAGTATTTCCTCTCTCTGACCAAACAACATGGAAATAACTGTGGTTTTGCTTGGTTCTCTGCAGGTGGAGTGCAAAGCTGTGATGGTTTTTTTTCACTACTGCGTCATGTCCAACTACTTCTGGCTTTTCATTGAGGGATTGTACCTTTTCACTTTACTGGTGGAAACCTTTTTCCCTGAGAGGAGATATTTCTACTGGTACACTATTATTGGCTGGGGTACGTGACATTTTTTAGGTATAATGTGTCTCACCATGCAAGAAACTTTCTTCTTTCTCCTGAAACTTTCACTGCAGGTAAAAGAATGAATTGCTGGATATTTCCACATACCATCTTGAACTATAGTTTTAGTGTTTGTATAGGAAGGTTATTGCAGACCAGACTGTGTTTTGTTCCTTTGTCTAGGCAGATTTGAATTGAAATCCAGAGGATGGTAGACTATATACCTTGCAGAGATATTATACCTTGCAGAGATATTATGAACAGAAGAAAGTTGCCTTCTATAAGAGGTCAAGTTCTGCATAATCAAATAAGCAGTAATCAAATAAACACTTATCAAAAACTAAATCTAGTCCATTTTCTAAGACTTCACTGGCAACTTTCTCCCAAATGGTATCTAAACTGAAAATATATGCAAAGAGGATCCACCTATGCCTGTCATACCTGGCTGGAAATGCAAACACGTTGTGTTGGGAGGGAACAAGATTTGTTTCAGAAAGTCCGGTTCTGCCATGATAACCAGTGTAATTGTTTTTCATGTTGAACTTCTTGAGCTAAACTAATGTTTGAAGCATGGTTCAAGCTATACTTTGCTGGGGTTATTTTGTGTTGTAGTCATATAGTCAATGCAGAAAAATCCATTCATTTTAAATGCACCCTAAGATGCCTAAGCTCAATAATTATACTTAAAAAATTTACTTCCAAAACAATCTGGAAACAGAAATATTCTCCTTTGAATACAGATCTTCAAATACAAGCCTTCATGCAACCTGATCCTTTAAGTAATCCACAGTTGAGTTTCTCAGCTTCTAGAAAAGAGTTCCAGCAAGACTTGGGAAGGGATAGAGAAGAAAGAGACGGTAGATCAGAAATAACCTATGGCATATCAGAGGCTGTGGAACTTATTAGAAAAGTCATTCAAACTTCCCCTTGTACTAATCACCTTCAGATACATAATCACACCATAACTCAGATATAAGGCCATTTGTAGAGATAACTTATGGATTACATGCATGATGTGAAAAATATAAAAGAAAATATAGAAATCTTTGCAACCCAAACACAAGCGAGGGATTGTGGTTCCTTTAGCTGAGTTTGCACAAATTTAGACACCCATGTGAATGTGAGAATATTGCATCACAGAATGTCAATTAACAAAAGGATATTTCACTCTCTGTATATGAAAAAGACTTATTGGAGACTTATAAAAGACTTATGGAAAGACTTATTCTGTAATGCAACCTCCAAAAATTTGGTCTGAGGTTGAATACTCTGAATAAGTTCAAGCTGCCTAGTTAAAAGTAATCAGCTTGTGTTCAAAAAAGTGTCAATAGTATCCATTATTAGCACTAAGATAAAAAGGGTGGAATTTGTTTGTTTGTTTGTTTGTTTCCAAAAGTGTGTTTTGGTGTTTTTTATAGCCCTCAATTCTCTCAGTTCCTCTCAAATTTCAATTTGAAGTTCCTCGGACTGAGTAAGAGCAACGGGTACTTTGGATGAACAGAAATAGTTCCAGAGTCTCCATTCAAGTTCTGAAATATTCAGAATTCAGGGGCTGATTCAGAATCAGCCCTTCAGCTCCGAGCTGAGGGAAAGTCAAGTTGAAGCAGCAAGAAGCATAAGCTCAGTAGTTTTCAAGAGCTGCATATTTATCTGTTTCTTGAAATATGCTGTACACATCAGTGTCCACGACCGATTAATGAGAAATATGTATGTCTGTGTTGTTCCAGACCACGTTGGAATTTTGTAATTTCATAAGGCAGACTGCTTGTTTGCTGAGGTTTTTCATAACACTTGCTCCTTACTTAGGACAGAAATAAAGCCAACAAGAACAGCAGTTTTTCTGCCACCTTTAGACTTTATAGAGGTTTATACATTTTTTTAGTCTCAGAAGTTGGAAAGAAAATGCTAAGTCATATATTTCTTTCTGATGAAAAAAAAAAAAAAAAGCAATGTGAGTATATTTAATTAGCAGATGGTCCAAAACTCCAAGTCGATCTGAAACATCCATTTTGAATAATAACACAACACATTTAAGTCTAATTCTGCCTTCCTGTGTTTTCCCTTGTTTTGTATTCCATTGTTTCATATTTGGAACTCTCTTAGTGTCAGAATTTCCACAGTGGAAACCACTTCAAGACAGAGGGCATGTCAGGCCCATAATTGATATTTAAGGACTATTTTTATTATTATGCTCCTATTGAGTGCACAAAAATCTTGATGGATTTTTAGGTGTTTTATGAGAGTGACAGACCTCAGTCTAAAACATGCACATTTCCTTCCTCCAAAAGCCTTCTATTTATTTCATTTATTTCAAATTACCTATGTGTACTTTTTTTTAAAGAAACAGGGCCCCATCAATCATCTAAATTCTTATTTCTGATAGTGAGAAGATTAGCTTTGACAGAGACTCTCTTAAGTCATTTAAGTCGATTAATCATTCAGGCAAATGACTAATTAATGTGACATCAGCACAGCCTTGCAAAATGTATGAAAGATAATTGTGCCTGTCAACTTATGACAGTTGCATTCACTGCTACAAGCTGGGGTTATCAAGATCCATGCTTTGTTTGTTTTTTAGCACCTTCATTTTTCCAGTGGTATTTTAGTAGACATAGTCATTTTCTAATCAAAGGCTTTAATTTGTTGTAAAATATAGTCTCTATTTCTTATTTATTTATTTTCACAGAATTCACAGAATTCACAGAATTCACAGAATTCACAGAATATTTAATGTTGGAAGGGACCTCTACAGATCATCTAGTCCAACCTTCCTGCTCAAGCAGGCACACTACAGCATGTGGCACAGGGTGGCATCCAGGCGGGTTTTGAAGACCTCCAGAGTAGGAGACTCCACAACCTCCCTGGGCAGCCTGTTCCACTGCTCTGTCACCCTAACAGTAAAGAAGTTGCTCCTCACCTGGAGACGGAACTTCTTATGCTTCAGCTTGTGACCATTACCCCTCGTCCTATCGCTGGCCACCAGTGAGAACAGCCTGTCCCCTTCCTCCCTGCATTCTCCCTTCCTGAACTTATACATATTAATCATATCCCCTCTGAGCCGTCTCTTCTCCAGAGAAAAAAGGCCCAGCTCGCTCAGCCTCTCTTCATACGAGAGATGTTCCATTCCCTTAATCATCCTGGTTGCCCTTCTCTGGACCCTCTCCAGAAGTTCCACGTCCTTCCTATACTGGGGTGCCCAGAACTGAACACAGTTCAGTTTGAATTTTTCTATAGAAAGAACAGCGTAATGGTACTTCCAGAAAGGAAAATTAATGCAGTTTTCTGAGTGGATTTATTTATTTATTTATTTTATATGTACTCTACTTGCATATTTTAAAGGCTAGAGAAACCTCTGAAATGCAACATCTTTGAGCAATAATAACCTGAAACATCACTGTCATTCTCTGTTTTCAGTTTTAATTATACAGTCTCACCAAGATTAAGCCATCTTCTCACTGAGATGCATTTCTACATGTGAAAGGATTAACCTAATGGATTGCATTGCTTGTAGCATGCGAGGCATCAGGAAATAAAACTTCATCAGAGAGGTTGTAAAGAAGTACCCATTGCTGAGCAGATAAATAAATCTGACTGATAACCATATCACCCTCTTATCTTCTGCAGGTACCCCAACAATTTGTGTCACTGTCTGGGCAGTGCTGAGACTTCACTTTGATGATACTGGGTACGTATCCCCATGTGAAAAGTCGTTTTACAAGTGGTCAGAACAATGTCAAGGATGGAAGACAAGTCTATCGATCACAGCATAGGACTGAGATTAATTTTTCATTCCATTTCTGACATTGTCTCAGATATGCATCTAGCTCAGGTGCATATTCATTCCAGAGTGCTTTCTTGTTCAGCTGTGTAAATATAGTCCAATGTTTATGTTCTTATGCCATTAGTGACTTTACTGAAGCAGATGTAGGCACATACAGTGCAAGCATGAAGCTAGCTCTCAGCTCCATTCTCAGTGAAGTTAATGGAGTCTGCTACATGTTTTTTCTTATCCTAAAAGAGCTGTCAGATGTATCACACTTGTGTTTGTCTTCTCTGCAAGTGAGGGAAGCTGTCAGTGATGAGCTCAGCTGTAGAAATCGTTGAAGGTAGCTCTGAGGAGGTGAGTGAATTCCACATGACGAGTTGCCCAACTTAAAATTATGAAGGTGATTAGGAGTTTAGTCTGCAGGTCTGCAAAGATCCTATATGCTTTCCTGAAAGATCTGAAGGAAAGACTACTACCAAGATGGTCACACACATCCCAGGATCCTGAGTGGTATGACAGAACAGCAGACATAGCTGCTAGGAATGAACTTCTAAATATACCCTGAATATCAGCCTTGGTAGTGTTCATTTATGAGAAATTATGTCTGGAATTGCTCAAGTAGCAGAAAAATTGTTGAGGAGTAAGGAAGTTTGATTAAAATTTGGAAATTCTGCCCATGATCATTGGAAAACCTTCACTGACTGAAAGGAAGCATTATGTTCCCAGGCTGTATTTCTGAGAAATTTCGCTCACATTTTAACATCTTTAATATTAGAGATTTTTAGGACCCAAAACCTACTCAAGGCTCATGAGTCTGTTTGTTAGGCTTTCTTTATACCCTTTGTACCCTTTCTTCTATGGTCTTTTTGGAATGCACATAAAACCCTTCCTCCACAGAGGATTCCACTGCTTTGACCCAATGTTCTATTTTGACATTAAAACAAATTAAATTACTTATTTCCATGCAAAACAAGCCAGAAACCCCTGTTGTGTCATTATTATGATTACACCACTGGTCCAAAATGCATTCATTTCTCCTAGGAGTCCAAACAGTCCTTGTGCTTTGCGAGTAGGGGGAATATCTCACAAAAGGGGAAAAAAAAAAGAAAAAAAGGAAATACAAAACATAAAAATAACAAAATCCCCTCTCCTTTCTTTTTGAAGAGCTATTTAGCATGTACCATGTTTAAACAGCTCCTAGCTGAACATCTCAATGGTTACTTTTTTAAAAAAATAGTCAGCAAGCATTGTACTGGGGGTGGAGGCAAAGCCAGCATGAGCCTAAAAACATTACAGAACTGGGAAAACACAGTCACAAAAGGATGGACTAAAATACAGCCTCTAAACTTGAGTCCCTTCTTGCTTGCTGCTTAAAAACTGGGCAGATCTCTCTCCTCTTCAGCACCTGATTCATATTGCTGTAAGCGACAGGTCTGGGGAGATAAATGCAGCTGTCTCTTTATCCAGAGCTGCGCTACTGAATTAAATGGAGCTGTTCCAGATGTCCACCAGAGATGTAACAGAGATAAGGCTCTGACTTTTCCAAATGGAAATGACGTATCCCCTCCCTCCCATTTCTCCCTGGCTTCCTGCCCTTCACTCCTCCTGAAAAAATGTCCTATACCCCTGACCTCCTCCACAGCAAGGCTTGATAATGAAATTAGGGAGACTTTTTCCATAGTACTGCTGGTTGGCTGATCTTTCAGACTGCTTTGTTTTGCATCATTTGTTTTTCTTTTTCCTCCTGACCTTTTCTGTCTAAGGAGAAGGTAATGTTTCTTCCACCACATCCATCCAGTAGAACTCACAGGGCCTGGAGCAAAGAAATCTTTAAAAAGCATTTTTGTGGTTTTGGCTGATTCACTGTTGACATCTACAAAGCTGAAACTGTCAGTCAAGCTTCTTGGGCAGGCACCCTGTTAAAGGAGAGGAATAGTTCAAAGAAAAGGAGTAGGTATTTCCAGAAAATGATTTATCTCATCCTAAAGTAAGAAATTTGAAATGCCTCAGCAGGAAAAGAATCTGCAAGTGCTGATTTGTCCTCATTGGGATAAAGAGCTGAGTTATAGATGTCTTCAACAGCGATGACTAAAATTATATCAGGTAGATTCTATTCTTTTCAATTTCACATTTTGATATGGAGAAATTGTTATTTGGCACCTAATGATGCACCATGACAAGCAGTGCTAGGATTTCTAGCTGTTGTCTCAGGAGGACAGAAAACCTCCATCGCAAAATTTCAGGTACAAAGTAGTCCTTTCTATGAGAATTCATGTTTTCTAGAAGGGAAGAAAGGGGAGATGAATTAAAGAAAATTTCAACTTTCAAATATTTTAATGACTTAAGTATCAAAATGCTGTGCAGGGATGGGAATAAGATTTTTTTCATCATTATTATTTGTCTAGCTTTAAAAATATACTAAGACTGATAACATATATATGTACATATATTTACTTAGGTTTATATATAAAGCCTCTTGTAATTTGTTTTATCTATAAATGAATGTCTAAGTGGCCTTATATAGAACAAACTTCTCCAGAAGCCTCTAGTGAATCTGAAGGAAGATTATGAAAGTACAGCTCGAGATACTTTTTGGGTTTTGTTCAATTGCTACTGGCAACTTAAAAATTTGGCATTTTAGGGGGGGTTGACCCCAGCTCCTTCGTAGGCCTTGAACCTTCTCTAATGAATTCCTATTCTCCATTTGGACGTGCCACCCAAACTTTAAAAAACATTTCATTAAGAACAGTCAGCTTCTAGTCCATACTGGTGTATTGGATATTTCCTGGTGTCCTCATGTCAGGGACAGAAACTTACATTCATATCTGTTAATCCTGGTCATGTGATTTAGGCACCAAATTTAGGAATATCTAGTTCGTACCCTCCGAGGCGTCACTGCCTTTCTGTCTCCTTTAGAGATGCTTGGATGGCCAGATTCTTAACTAAAGCATCTCAAATGAAAGTCTCAGATCATTTAGGCCTAAAGGACAGATTTTCAAATGTAGGATCTGAAGATACAGAAAAATATAGAGAGTTTCTTTTGTTGTATTTTTTTTTTTAATATCTGAATTGTTTACCAACTTAAGACAGAAAGGTAATACTGTAATCCTCACTTTTGGATGAGTCAGATAAAGGTTGTAAAAGAAAATTATATCAGGAAGAGACTAAGGAGTTACCACCTTTGGATTCCAAGAAAAAGTAGTCAAGTACAAGATCAAGCCCCCTCTCTCTTCTTCCACAGATACCATAGTAATTTTATTAAGTTCTTTGTCATAGTTTTGTCTTCTTCTTTCCCTCACTTTCACCACCCCATTCTTTCATTCATAATTGCAGCTGCTGGGACATGAATGACAACACTGCCTTATGGTGGGTGATCAAAGGTCCTGTGGTTGGATCGATCATGGTAAGTAGCACTCAGAGGAGACAATTCTTCAACATTTCTGAGGGTGAAAGTAGGATCAGCTTCTGAAAGCTTTACAAAGTATGTCCACTACTTCCCTTGTGACATGTCAGGCAATTCCATTCCTATGAATTAAAATATGCCATTGCTATTGCAGTAGCACTTAGACATGGAATAATCCAGCTCCTTAAAGACAGGCACAAATGCCATAAGTAAGGCCATAGGGTATGTATGTAGAATATTTGCATGGGGTTGGCAAATATGACATGGGATATGTGGGAGTGATGTGCCCTGATGGCAGCTGAGTTTCAGACGGGATACCTCAAAGTATCTAGACTGACACTAGATGCCAGAACCTAGGAAACCAAAATGCATATTTTAGATGGAATTCATTTTGCAGCTAAGTTTGTTTTCAGTTATATTAGATTTATTGTACAATCAATGATCATCTAAGATTTCTTCAGCCATAGTAAGCCTTGGATTTGATTCAAATGACTCTTAATAACTGTGTATGGAAAACAGAGATGCTCTAAGGTACCCTTTAAGCTGGCTTTAAGCTGCTGCCCCCAAAGAATATGGGAATTTCAAATGGTATTGTGTTCCTCCTTTCAGGAAATAAAATAGCTCCCTTTGTCAACATGGTTAGTGCCCATCTAGACAGTTATTTAGCTTATTACATGTAAAAGCGTACTTCTGGGCAAACTATATTGCTCTCTAGACACAATTGGCAGTACTGGCCAGAATTTCATCTGCTGTGGGGGTAATTAGCAACCCAGATGACAGATATATCTATCTATAAAGATATGCACATGCCTTCATCAGGTGTGCTGCTTCTCTTAAGGACTTGGGCATCTCTTTAAAGACCGGTTATCTCACTTCATAGGAATCAAATATTAGAGTGGTCAAGAAAGACAATCACGGGCTTCTCAGGAAAGCCCATGGGATTGTCAAGAAAGACAATCATAGTCTTCTGATCCATCTTGAAAATTCTTCTGGAAGAGATATTGACTGTGATAGAGGTGCTTTAGTTTGCTGGTCTACTTGCAGGATTAAAAGCTTGCATTTCTTTGTTTTGTAAGAAGTCAACTTAACATCTATTCTGTTTTCTTCTGTAAGAAATTATGGAGTTAGTGACAGCCGAATCTAAAGATAAATTGTAGATAGATACATAGGTAGACAGATAAATTTATATCTTCATCTCTAAAACTTTAAAACTATGCCTCTAATGAGACGATGTTATGAAGGAGCAGATGTCCAGGGTGAGATAAACCAAGAAGACATGTTGGAGATCATAAAAGTATTAGAGTTCATACCATTTGGGATAGGTTTAGCCTAGAAAAGGGAAAATGGCAAGGAAAGCCAAGGGGAGACACTAAATTGTAGCTGAAGCAACTTCTAACAACTGTTGTTAAACTGTAAGATGCTTTAGTTCAGAGAGTTAGTATTATAGATGCTCATTATCTCTGACAACTGAGACCTTTACTGAATGGTTTTGATGTGCAGGGGTCTTTCTTACTTTTCCTTGCAAAGGTTGGCAATGACAAGTTCTGAAACCTTTTGGTTTATATTTGTCTTGTCCAATGCATGCCACCAGATGAACTCTTCCTTATTTTGGCTTGTCAAAGGGAGATATTTGTGCCTGGAAAAGGGGTCAATATGTCTTTTGTAAAGTTATCCCATTATTCTTGACCTTATATAGCTCCTAGGGTGAAATTTGGAGAATAATAAGGAAATAGAGGCAAAAAGTCACTGTGAATGTTTCCTTTTTTATTATTCCTTTTTTTTTAATTTAAAATATAGATAGATAGATCTAGGCAGCACTGTCAACATTGTTTTCCTTTCTTTTTCCCCTAGATAAACTTTGTGCTTTTTATTGGCATAATTGTGATACTTGTGCAGAAACTTCAGTCACCTGATATTGGGGGCAATGAATCCAGCATTTACTTGTAAGTACAACTAAAACAGTGATCAGTTCAGATTTCTAATATACACATAGGAAAAAAAATCCCCCAAAAGACACCTTGACTGATTTCATTTGACTTTGGAAGAGTCACAGGACCTATTAATGTGCTTTGACTGATTTTTTGTTTTCTTTTTTTTAATTCAAAAGCCATAAAAAGATCATTTTACTGTTGGCTTTTTCTTTAAAGAAACTGGAAAAAAAAAAAGGATAAATACAAGATAAAATACGAATGCTGATGTACAGATCAATTGTCTGTAAATTAACATACTGATCAAGCTTAAATATTATATTTATGGGACCATCTGCTGTGCTTCATACGTTCAAAGGACATGATCCAAAGTTCACTGAAAGATATAGGATTTGGTGAAAGGAATTCATGAACTTTGGACAAGACTCTAATTTAGGAAGATATCCCGAAGTTACATATGTTCCTATTTCTGATATTTTTGAATCAATTTAACAAACTAAATCCTCCACATTTCTGGAATCGCTTAAAACCTTACAACAAATTTTTAAATTTTTAATTAGAAGTTTTAATGCTTTGTTAGGGGTTTGCTTCTTCATTTTTTTAAAGCTTTTAATTAGTTTCCAAATCACTGTAAGACTGAGGTTGGCAGCTTGAGAATATTGTCATTCACACCTATATGCATTCATTCTGCACATAAAAATATTTTTTCATTATTTTTTATAACTAAAATAGTTATTATCATAGTTGTAGCATGTTTTGGTGTTTGCAGCCTAAACACAACACACATTTATTTTGCAATTTTAATACGAAAAGCTTAACTAAAAATAAAATATATCAGGCTAAAGTAGGGTTAGTTCTTAAAATGATTTAAAATGATATAGCTGGGGATCAATTCCACTCTCTTATACCCATAGTATAATTGTGTATTCATTCTAAATGACCATTTTCAGTTAAAAATCTGTCCTCCAGCTGCCTGTTTTTCCACTCCTTTCTTTGCTAGTGTCTCATTTATATTCACCTGAAGCAAGAACATTTTTCTGCATCACTGTTTTTCTCTCCACAGTCCTGAAAGTATTTCCCTTGAAGCTTACTCTAAACTGTGATTTCACAGACACAGATAATTCTTTAAATTCATTCTGTGGGTGGACGTTTCTTGAAATGCACTGGAGAAAGCTCAGGCGAATATCCCATGCATGGTTTGCCTATGGTTTGCATGAAGACTTCCCATGAAGAAGCTTCTGGGAAGTCACTCCCCGAACCTTAGATTGTAATTAACCCCCAAGATATGCAGAGCTACTTCTTATTACAGCCTGCAAAATGCATGTTTGGTTCTGCACATCTGTCACATATGAAGCAAAGCATGCCTCAAACTCCAATGATCTGACAAGGCTAGAAAGCATCCTTGCCCTTTTTTGATCAGTATGGTGGCTGGGTTTTACTGTCATTTTTCCTATGTGTATAGTTAGCAACAAAAGCCAAAAGAAAACCTCATATTTTCTGTTTCATTCGCTACCATTATTTTTCATATTTCTTTGCAACTTTATAAATGGGTGTGTATAAATTGATCTTGCATTTATGTATGTGTTATGAAGTGGAGTGTTGTTTATCCAAACAAATTCAGCAACAGAAATGTTACACTGAAATTGTGTAATAAAAATAAGTGGGAAGAGTAAGTCTGTTCAGACATACAGCAGGCATAAGTATTTATGCATACATATTATGTAGAAAGAGGGTTATTAGAATATAGGAAGAAGTTACATCACCATATTGAAAATTCTGTGGAACTTAGGCTATGACCCATATTAAGCATTTTTCATGTTTTAATTTGCTGTTTCTAAATATGAAATGCTTACAAATCATTTATTTATCATACAAATATGCAAAATATAGGTCAGATAGGTCTTGTTTAATTCACTGATAAACCCCAAACGAGATGGGTAGTCTAACTTGTTTGAGCCTTGTCTCCTCATGCTAACAGATTGTTTTGAGAATCCTGTTGTGAAATTCAAAGGTGCCAAGTAAATTAGAAGGCCTCACCATTCTCAGCTTGAAACCGCAGATATTATTGGCAAGAAAAAATAAGAAAGAAACAAAGCATTGTAGTAAGGTGCTCGGCCCAGGAGTATCCAGCTGGGCACTAAAGAATTCAGGTATATCACAGTCTTAATAATAGTAATTATAATAATAATAAAAGAAGTAGTTTTATCCATTGAAGTCATATCATTAGACCAAACTTTTCATCCAAATCTTTAGTCTACAAGAAATATAAATGCTTCACCATTAGAACACGAGACGAAACAGTCATGGTTCAGAAAAGATGCTTAGGCTGTTTCCAAAATTAATATCATACAATCTCTACAACAGTTATTGTGGTTCACACCAGTATAAGTCTCTAGAATGACCCTTTATCTGGATATTGTATCACTGTGTCTGAGCCTCTGCTACCAAATAAGGGTTTGATTCATTGAATTCAAAGTCTTAAAGAATAACTTAAGCTTTGTGCAGATATTTAATTTGCATCAACTGAATTTCAGTTATGGAGATAAAAGATATTCATGTCAGATGGTAATAAATATAAATGTGAGGTTTGTGATTGAGTCATGATTGGTGTGTCTATCAGACGAAAAGGAGGCCCAGGAAGAAATATTTTATTCCCTCAAAGATTCCAAACACTTGAAATTTATAAGAATATGTTGAAATGTGACTCCTGATGAATTGCTTACACAAAGTCTACAATCAGGTTATGAACTCATGTAGCAATGATTAAAAGCCACTTGTGTTGTCTGCTATACGAGCAATACTCTTTCCACGCTCTTGCCAAGAATCTGTAACTGAAAAATTCCAGCTAAAAAAAAAGAAAAAAAGCAAGAAAATATAATAATAATAAAAATAACAACAACAACAGCAACAAAAACAACAACACAGGCCCAAAAGCTTGCTTATTGACTTTGGAGATGATTTATTTTCTTCATATCTGCATGGTAGGTTATTAGATACTGCCCTTTTACTGATCAATGTCATTCTATTCTGTAGGCAGTATAGTCATGATTCTGCAACTCCCTTCAGCCTATAATTGACTTTACAAGCCTTACGGATATGCTTAGATTCAAAGATGTATTTTATATCTTTACCATTATTAACAGTACCCACTAACAGAGTTAGCTGCAAGCTACAACAGGAACACAGCCCAAGAGTGTATAGCCGGGGAGCTGATGCTCAATTGGTATAGGCTAACCACTAGAGACTGCAAGATTTGATTTAAAAAAATAAATAAAAGTAGCATAGAAGCAGTAGCACAATGATTAGAGTTTCACTCCCATTTAAAAAATAAATAAAAAATCAGACTTTCTCTCTAAATAACCTTCTTAATGATCATTATAGGTAATAGCCTTTGCCTTTGGGCTGACAAAATCTTGGAAATATTTAGCTGATTCCTAATGGTTTTCTACAGCAGTCAAATGCTTTTATGATTACCAACTTACATTTTACCAGCCTGTTTGTTCAGTTATTCACTACCAGTCTCATGCCTACGCAATATTTCATCACACATTTAGTTTTTCTTCAAAACTGCCTGCGTGCTGCTCATCCCATTTTAGATTGAATGGCTCAAAATATGTCAGATCCTAGGAGAGCAATAACTCTCTGGCTCTTTTAGATAGAAACTCCTCCTTTTGGTTGGAATCACTTAGATAATTTATCAAAATTATCTAAGAATTCAAGGTAGGAATTAAAAGGAAGAAAAAGAAAATAAAAGCCATCTTTTTAAATTTTAAGTCTTTTTTTTTCTTTTTCATTTCTACCATTTTTTTTTTCCTTGACAAGTTTAAGCAGCTTTTGTGATTTCTCATAATAATCATCACCACCATTACCTACTCCTTAGAGTTAACAGTGAATGGCCAAGGGCATGCATTTTTTTTTCCCTTGGATAATGTTCCCTTTTCAGTTAATCTTATGTCATCCCTGTTAGGAACCAAACCAAAGCCAACCTAGTAGTGCGAATGCAACAGATTTTGGTCTGAATGAAACACGCTGAGATCCTCAGATGAAAATTGCTTGTGAAGTGATATTGATTTTATTCCCATTGTGGTTATGATAAATAAGACAAGTTTGCTGCCTCGGTGAATTATAGAAGCATTTTCATTCTCTCTTAGTCACAGCTATGACATACTCAGTCTTATAATATAAACAAGAACAGATTTTACTAAACATAATTTCAGATCCAATGCATGTTCTGCCTCATTCCTAGAAATCTCTAGATGTGCAGTTTGTAAACACTTTGAACAAGCTGCAGGTCATTCAGAGCCTCTGTCACACCACAGATTGAAAGCCAAGTAGGAGCTACTAGAAGTCCCTAAAACCAAAGTACATTCCCAGTTCTGTGGATGGGAAAAACATTTTTACAAAACTACCATGGATGGCTCTGCACACATCATGTCACATCAAACCCAAGTAATTTTGCACATACTTTCATGCATCAGTCCTTGAAATGGAGCTAAAGTAAATATCAATAACCAATAAAATAGTAAAGGATGCTTATCCTACAAAATATCATTATATTTCCTGTGGGAAACCCAACCAACAGTGTGTAACATGACATGTCTGAAGCTGCTTTCAGGCATGCTGGTTTTAGTTAAGCCGTTGCAGAGAGAGTATATTCACTCAGAAAAGTCATATTCCTGTAGAAATGCTTACATAAAGTCCAGGCTATTAGTTTCACAAGTATTGTTAACTTCCTGAAAGCCTCATTGCAGTTAGAAGAGTACCTAAGGTTGTCCCTAGCTTAAATAAATACAGTAAATATTACAGTAGGTATGCATGATGTAGATGCATGCTGCACTAATTCTTAAAACAACAACAAAAAAGATGCACACATCTCCATTAAGCCTTTGCTTATTCATCCATTATCAAGGATCGAAGCATATTTGACTGAAAAAGCTTTTTTTCTTTTTTTTCTTTTATTTCTCCAACTTATCATGCATAGTGTAACTTGGGAGGGGAAGGCTTGTTTCTGCTTT